GGGAAAATAAGTTATCTTCTTCCATCTGTTAAAGAATTATACAAAATTTGGAATTTAACTGTTATAATTAATCTTAGAAATTTGATATTTTATCATTTTATTTTAAGAATTTTTGTATGCACTGACACATTTAGATTATTTTTTCTTTCATATAACTTGTCCTACCTTAATTAATATTATACCACAATTAATTACCTCTGTATTGATTTCATTGTCTATAATAAAATTTTATTATCGATACAATTTTTAATTCTTTATATTTTTCAACCAATATCAGCACTCTAAATCAATGTTAGATTTCTATTGAATTTATTGAATTTATTGAATTTTTCACATTAGAAGTTAAGCTATGAATAATTAAGACGAAAAATATCACAATCTCAACTAATTCGGCTAATACTACAAACATAACCTCATAAAAAAAAAAAAAAATAATGATTATAATAAATGTAATAGTCGTCGTATTAATTATCAAATGAAAAATGATAGAAATAATACGAGGGATACGGTTTCAGTGTATACTGAAATAATTACATCAGTACAAATTAGAGACAGACTGTAAAATTTAAATTATCGTTAAAATGATGAAAACTTACTAACACGACAATATAAATTATTCGAAATTGTTTAGACTCGATGAAATTGTTAAGACATGATGAAATTGATTAAACTCGATTCTAGGAATTGTCAATATCCATATCAAATGTTTGCGTAATATAATCCTGCAGGAGAGAAACCACACTAAATACCTGCATATTGCTTAGTAAATAATATCGATACATTAGAACTGGATATCAATGGCAGAAATAATCAAGGAAGTCAAATATTTATTAAATTACAAGTTGTCTATTACTTTGCTTATTCGATGCAATAAGTCGTCTTATTCTACTGAAGTACGATGACTCCTTTCGTTATATTAAAATAACTGAACAAAAAAAGCAAAAAAAAAAGCAAAAAAAAGAAAGCAAAAAAAAAAACAAAACAAAACAAAACAAAACAAAAAAAAAGAATTTTTACAGACGATTGAACAATAACGTGATTATGATAAAAGTTTAAAATGTAAATAAATAAATACTTCTATAAGTATTATTCGTTTAATCCAGAAGCAATCGACAAGTCCAAATGCATTTCAACATACAATTACAATTGCATACTCTATTACTTTATTACTAAATACAATACTCATATTTTCTATTGGTTTCAAATACAAAGTTATTTATTATTAAGTTTATAAATGACAGCAATGTGTCATCATTCAGCTTGTTAATTTTTTTTTTTTAATACATTCTAGTACGTATAATGTTATTTCAAATATTTTCATTCATTCGTTATTTAATCGCTATATCTATGTAATTTCTAACTATTTGTGTAACGAACAATTTTATCTATCGTTTATCATTGTTTCACTTTATGAATTTGAATGTGGACCCTCGTGAAAATTGGATATATTTGAAGTAGATTTGAAGTAGATTAAAAATATCGTGAATTAGTTGTTATCATAAATATTATAAGGCTTGTAAATAATTAATGAATAAATAACAAATCTCTCAGATACGATCTTTATGAAAATCAACATAATTAACAGTTTCTAATTAAAACAGATTTAGTTCATTTAAAACTGTTGTAACGTATTCATTGCCAATTTTGAAATTTATATTTTATTTTCGTTAATATCGATTGATTATTCTTATATTACAATGTAATATAATTTTAGACAATTTGACAATTTCTCCTTTCCTTCTCAGTCTAATTTATTCTTATTATTAATATTCTTTATTTTTCCAATTATTTTATTAATTTATTAAGCCCTCTATGTAATATGGACATAGATTGTTTCATATAAATATAAATGCATTATATATAATTAAATTTATATTTATTCGCGATCTTTATATATTTTCATATATTTGTATTTTTTATGTAAAATCATCGTCCATGCGCCGAAAAAAAAAAAGGAACCCATATTTTGTAACAGTGACTTTCATGTTATAAAATTGACGTATGTTAAGTGAAAAATATAAATGAAAAAAATTCTTTATATATTATTTGCAAATACAATGAGCCTCATAAATTTTATAATCTATAATGAAAAAAAATTTTAATTATTACTTATTCTATGTATAAAGAATAAGATGTATAAAGATCTAAAATACCGTTATTCAATATAAAATGCCATTTATCTAATAGTTATTAAAAATTTTAACCTTAATTTAGGAAACTTTCTTGAAAATAATTTGTTACTTTGATCGTCTTTTGTAATCGTATTGTCATTTATTAAATAATGATCACAAAGTGAATAATAACTCTAGGAAGTATTCAAGTGTAATTTGTCTGCTCTTAAGAAGAGACATACTTAAAAAATAGGATAAATTCATCTTCATCGGGAAAAGTAGCCTGGGATGAAAAAAAAAAACAAAAAAAAAAACAAAAAAAAAAATAAAAAAAATATGATAATATTTTGTAGGATGATGAATTGAATAATCAAAGGTACGCTTAAGAATGAAAAAAAATACATACATTGAATATTCCAATAAGGAATTTATCTGGTAATCCATATTATTAATATTTTCGATTACAGATAGATACCTGCATATAATAGATACAATAAATAATCAGTCATAAAATATCATAAAATACCCGTATAAATGTAGATACTTTTTATGTACAGATTTGTTTTTCATTATAGGACGATATAACAAATCAAATTATTCCACTGAGTCCAGTCATAAGCGTTATAACGTTTGTATTGTAAAAATAAAATTATTGAAAAAAAAAAAAAAAAAAAAAAAAAAAAAAAAAAATAAAGAATAGAATATTGTTGTATTTGTGTAAAATATGTATGTATAAAATTTATCTGCAATCGATTAAAATTTATATTGGAATTCAATAATCTAATAGATGAATTTTTAAATTACGACAATGTCTTTTTGTATTAAAATAATATCGCTTTCATATAATTATTATTCTATGGTGTAATAGCATGGAATCGTGAAAAAGGTCATTCGAATAAATTAAATGCCTCTTAGGTTGCACGACTGTCCCCCGTCCGAGTAGGACAGCGATACGACGTCGTGCTGTTAAACCGTACGTGTGAGAACCAGTTTTGGAAAAACTTGTCGATTAATCTTGATCCTTGACACGATTGATTGCCGTATGGAAAATTATTAGCCCGCCGCGAGCTAAGTCACTTTGACATTTAAATAGGACATTGTTCGTTATGTTTAGTTAATAAATGACACATTTATAAAATATGTTATCATCTGTCGAAGGAAGGAAAAGTATGTTGGCATAGGCGGGAAGCAAGTCCGACACTTAGCATTGGCTTTATCAGTAAGCCGGACGCTTGCTTACGAGATCATTACGTGTCCTTTTTAAAAATATTTAAGCCAAACAATATGTGCGATGGGTCGCGCGAGTGCCACTTTATTCTGTTTAAGTAAGCATCGGTTAGATTGAAATTTTATTTTAGAAATTATTTTCAGACTTTATCTGGCCTTGTGTTACGAATGGCAAATATACAGCCGGGATATTAGCTCGGCATTATGTAATAAATATTCGACATTCCTTGGCTAATAATCTATTTCATATCACCTTTTATATTATTTAAATTGCGCGTATTTTGCTTGATTATCTTAATTTTATATTTTAAATAGCCAAATCCTACAGTCTTCCGTTATCTTACTGATATACAAAAATTAAACGAAGTCCTAGTTAATTTATCTGTCGTTAATCTTAGCGTAGAAAGTACACGATTTGTACGTTAAATAGTTTTTATACTGATAATGGGAACATAATTACGTGTTTATTTATTTTTATTTTTATTTTTGTATTTTGTTTTTTTTCTCTCTCAAAAGTGAGCACTTGTTTACCAACCAATGGAAATATTGCAAAAGCATTTTTGTATCGCTACATATATATATATATATATATATATATATCTTCTAATATACAAATACAATGATTGCAGGACTCATCATAGGGGCGATAATTCGATATGGATTCACAACAAGTAGTACGATCCAACGGCTGCCGGTTGTGCCTGCAGCCCCGTACAATCAGTCCATACCTCCGGATATATTGTGGTTTCAAGTCCATGAAAATATAAGCGGAAGTCTTGTTAAAAATAAAACTTTTGCATACGCATTTCGAGGGGAAATTATGAAGCAAGACAGCGAAATTGATAAAAAGGTTGAAATAATTTTCAATCTTACATAATTCAACGCTCGAGTTTATTTGTATTATAAATTAGATAATTAGATTTTAAGTAATATTTCACTTGCGATACATAAAGTTCATCGAAATTCCTCTCTATCGCGATTGTTTTGAAAATTTTTCTTTTACAGTTAATATATTGTTTACTTATTTATAATTTCACAATTAATTCTATATATATATATATATATATATATATATATATATATATATATATATAACATTATATTGATTTTTCTTTAAACGTGTATCATGATGTTGTTTTGAATGTACATTTTTTTTTATTCTATCATTGATGTAACGCGGGCTCTTATGAATAAAAAATTCTATAAATTATGTAGAATTATTTTACGTTATACATGTCCATTAAATTAACGTAATGTAATATATATTTATATTTTTATACGTTTTAATTTTTATGAAAAAGAAAAAAGCAATAGATAAATATCGGCCATTGATAAAATATCTATCTTCTATAATAAAATATATTTTAATTAGTTATTTTCTTTTAGGCTACGTTCGATCCAGAAATATTTTTCAACATTATCTTGCCTCCTATAATTTTTCACGCCGGATATAGTTTGAAGAGGGTAAGTCGACTTACATTTATTACATTTAAATAATTTTATATATGTGAAATTGTTTAAAAAAAAAAATTCAATTTCTATAAGAAAACCCTATTTTCTAACCCAAAATAAAGTTTGTGACTGAAATTTGAAACTGAAAAGCAAAATATAATCGAATTTACAGTTAAAGTATATTTTGAAAATTTTTTACTCTCATGCCTATCACGTATCGTTCAATTGTACAAACTTGTTTTATTATCTTGCCCCAAAAAGATTTAACGAACAAAATTATCGATGTTTCCTGTAATGAATTTCCACTATTTTTCAGTGAATTTTAATTCTGCTAAATATTACATCAGATTCATTAAACGTTTGTTCTTACATATTTTATAAAAGACTTTTAATGCGGCATTTTATAAGAAATTTAATATTGTAAATTATGTAAATTTTAATTCCAAACACAATTGGACGCTTAATATTTTGAAAAAATAATATAATTAATGCTGGTCCGATATATTTTTAGTAAAAAAGATAAAAAAAAAAAAAATAAAATACATTTTGAATTAGCTTCCTGAAAAAATTTTCAAATTATAAAGTGATTCCATAAGAGACGATTTAGGCTACAAATAACCAATTGGTATATTATATAGTTGGTAATATTGAAAATACAATAATACAATTTTCAATTGTGTTGCAATAATAATAACAACAACAACAACAACAACAACAATAATAATAATAATAATAATAATAATAATATGCAAATTACTATATACGTATAGTATGATGTGCTTGATGAAGTAGGATTAATAAGTTTATTATAAGTACTCTACGTATGCTAATGTAACACAAAATTAATAATTATATTCCCCTATTGAGTGTCGATAAGTAATATAATTAATAAATTTGAATTTTAGAAATATTTCTTCCGAAATCTCGGGGCAATATTGATGTACGCACTGGTTGGTACGACAGTTTCGTCTTTCGTGATCGGGCAAGTGTCTTTCAACTCACTAAACAATCGATGATAATCGATAGTATTAAACGGCGCATAACTACGATAAAAATTTATTTTTAATGTCTCTACATTTTCAGAACGTTGATGTATGCGTTCATGCAACTGATTCCGAATCTTTCAACGTCCTTCACCTTCCTCGATACTCTTTACTTCGGGGCGTTGATATCGCCAACGGATCCTCTGACGATCATATCGATTTTTAACGATTTGCACGTAGACGTTAATCTATACGCTTTGGTGTTTGGAGAGAGTGTGCTGAACGATGCCGTAGCCATTGTACTTAGCGGGTAAGTGCAGAAAGTAATCTATTTTTTTTTTTTTTTTTTTAATCCATCAGTAAAAGATTTTATTATTATAATAAAAGGCATTTCTTCTAGATCGTAGATAATGGTAACGCGCTGAAATTTCTAAAAAATGAATTCTAATTCATTCGTATGCATTGCTAAATACAAATTTATAATAAGGCTTTGGCTTTAAACACGAATGTACGAGTCTTAAAGTAATTAGATATAGATTATTAGTTTTTAGGCGACAGTTACGATTGCACGACAGGAAAAAAAAAAACGTAAATAATCACATAAGACGAAGATTTTTAAGAGTAAGATAACAAATCTGTAGTTATCTATAACGATATTATATTTGCTCGGAAATTAACAAATTAGCGACAACGTATCGGCAATAATCAGACATAATATTATCAAAAATATCCAATTATCAGGATAATCTCTCGAGTATCAATATAATGGTATATAGCATCAGTAATGTAATAATAATAGTAGTAAAGTAGCGAAAGCTCGACTGTGACACGATATTCTTATCTCAAATTGCTCGGCTTCCCATGACATTTAGTTATTCTTTCCATTTCGATGAGTACTTTTACGCTATTTTTATTATGTTTAATTTGGTTGAATTGATTAACAAACTAATTGCTACCCTTTGCAGAGCCATACAGAACTATGGCGAGCGATACGTTACGGCGGGCTCGAGCAAATTCGAGCCAGTGGCCTTCTTTCAGGCCCTCGGTGACTTCGTCGGCATATTTAGCCTCTCGCTCGTCATCGGGGCCACTTCTCACCAAATTCACGAGGGTGAGGGATTTTCCGCTGCTGGAGTCGGCGCTCTTTGTTCTCATGTCTTACAGCACCTTTCTTATCGCGGAAGCTTCCGATCTCACTGGTAAGTTAAGTTGTTCGGAATTCGGATTCGAAACAATTGCATCTTCCCCCATTGAATTTCGTTAATGACTCTTCGCGATGATTTACAAGCTCGATGCATACGATACTTCAACTCATTAATATTTACGTAATCTTTCTTCGTTGTCACATACACTGATCTGGCATCTTGCCCATTAATTATTGGTCTATTGACCATGACTTTCCAATTACGAATTCTGTTCGTGTCATTCGAATAATTTTTAATAATTATAAACAATTGTTTTATTAACTGGCCGGTCGTCTCTAACTGTAACTGGCGACAGAAAAATGTTTAATGTTTGAAAATTGAAAGAATCGTACGTTTAAATTTTATTCGCAAACTGCCCGTTGCACACAGAATAATAATGTCGTTTAATATATAATTCTATTCATTTTAACGATAGATTTGAAAATATTTTTATTACAGATTAGTTGGAATTATTCGTCGAATTGCCATGACTATTATTGTTTAAACTATAACGATAATACGTCGCTTATTAAATTTTATCTATTCGCGTGACATTTTATTTCGCATCGCTATATTTTAATAATTGATCGATCAGAAATATCTATTCGTTTCTTATCATTTCATTATGAATATAAAAAACATTGCGAATTATATGGAGAAGAGAAGCTTCGTTTGTACATACATATTACACTTTATGTGCAAATGTCTAGTAGTATTATTGTTTATTTTATTTTTATTTATTTTTTTTTGTTTTGTTTCAGGCGTTGTTGCTGTTCTGTTTTGTGGGATTTGTCAAGCTCATTATACGTACAATAATTTGAGTTCCGACTCTCGTCAAAGGACGAAGCAACTTTTCGAATTGCTCAACTTCCTGGCCGAGAACTTTATTTTTAGCTATATTGGTGTCTCGATGTTTACGTTTCCTAAACACCATTTCGATTTTGGATTTATATTTTCAGGATTCGTATCCTTTTTTTAATTTAATAAAAACAATAGCGTATCTTTGACATAATTTTAGCCATACCATATTATAAGTCTTCCAATATCAATGTCGTTTCATAAATTAATTATTCAAATTTGAAATGAGCTCATACTTAAACACATCCCTTTGATATCATTGTGTTTATGTAACGCGTGGTGCTTTGTCTTTAAAAAGATATCACGAAACAAGTCAAGCCTTATTCGCTCTAAAATAAACGAGTCCTATTACTACACTGCAATTGTATATTGAAATAAATATATTTTAGAGATGATATAAGGTGTAAAACGAAAATTTTATCGCACTTAAGGATCTCCAAATTACATATCATTTATGCAAATATAGTCTACTCAATCTTATATAAATTTGGTAAATACTTTCATTTATGATAAGCTTGCATTAAAATACATGAAAATTTCATAAATTGTTAACATATTAAAAATTATGTCTTAACGAGACACTTACATATCATTTTAATTCAACATTTTATCAATATTAATCAACTTACGATTAAATATTAATTACTAATATTACTAATGCTTGAAGTGAAACTTATGCGCAAATAATCGTTTTTAGAATATCGAATTTCACTGAGAAGCTTAAGCTTACGTAAACGGGTATTTTAATATTCCTCTACGTGATCGAATTTTTTTTCTCACAAATGCATTTTTCATCAATATTTCATTATACAATAATTGATCTCAACAATAAATCATTAAGATTTGTAGATGAAAAAACTTACATCTAATACGGCATTACGAATGGAGAAAGCCCCATAAACTTATCGACTTATAAGTTAACTCACACTAGTGCAATTGTATATTCCTTAACTAGTGATAAACAGTTCTGTGCCCTCGTTGGTAGAGCTGCCAACGTTTATCCACTCTCGTTCCTTTTAAATCTCGGCCGCAAGCCGAAGATATCGCTTAACTTCCAGCACATGCTGTTTTGCGCGGGTTTGCGCGGTGCGATGAGCTTCGCCCTGGCAATCAGGAATACCGTGTCCGAGGCTAGGCAGGCCATGCTGACGACCACGAGCCTCATTGTCATATTAACAGTCATATTCCAGGGCGGCGCCGCCTCGCAGTTCCTTAGTTGGTTCAACATACCGTAAGTCAGCTGCACCTTTCAATCTATTGCCAAAAAGATAAATTTACATAAATTATGAATAATTCGCAAAAACTCGATAAGCTAATGGATAGGAGTTGAAGACAGTTCGACGTCCCGAGATAAGACAAGTTTAAACTATTTTAAATTCATTTAACGATGCGTGCATTATAATGCATTCCTTTGAACTTTCTCCATTTCTATAGCGAAGAATTTGTTGAATTTCACTCAGCCTTTTCATGCGTCGAAAGTTCGACTTGACTTGAGATTTTGTTAAAATCATAGGCGTTTTATGAGTGCATTTTATTTTCATGATTAGTCGCACGTTTTTCAGCCATAACGATCACTTGGATTTGCTTACTACTTGCATTTATTTCAAATTTCCTTTGTGATTGTGTATTTGATTTCTGAGAATTCAAAATTTATCTTGACAAAATGTGTTTGAAAATTTGATGAAAAAGTTTTTTTGTTGAAAATGAAAAGGAAAGTACGTAATTAGAGTATTAATATATATATATATATATATATATATATATATATATATATGTATATACTTTAAAAGGTTTGTTAATAAGTTAGTTAAAATAAAAAAATACTATTATTATATTCGTTATAAGAATACTGTTTAGTTTATTAGGGTAATTTACATCAAGATTTAAATTATTTTAATACAACTTGGATAGGTACATTAAGAACTTTCGGATATTTCCTTTGAAATGCACTTGACTGAGAGCTAATTACGAGTGAATTATAAAAACAAAGAATAGACAGTAGAATATTAAAACAAAACAAAACAAAAAAAAATATGTAAATAATTGAGGATATTTTGTTTTAGCGTTGGTGTAGACGAAGAAGTTGAAGTTTTATCACATAATGGAATTCGGAGTGTAAGTAATGACACGTAAAATTTACAAACTTCTTTCGTAGAAATTTTGGCAGTAGTATACATATATATAGGTGTATGTTATGACAATATAAGCTTTTGGTAATTTTTAAGAACGATGTTACTATTTTAATGTGTTTTTTGTAAAGAAACATCAGTCTGTCAATTTGTCTTTCTATTCACGAGAAATATAACTATTTTTATGTTAAAGCTGTTATATAAAAAATGAAGCAAACATGATAAAGAAAAAGAAACAAAGGCACCTGCGCACGTGTAATACTATCGAATATATAATTACAAACCGCTTAACGTACATTTGCTTTTTTATTCTAACGCTTGCGGGGTTTCTACTTTTATTTAAAAATTCATTAAATTTTCACGAATTGTTAAATTAAATTCAAAATGTTATTTTTAATTCTTAATCGATAAGCAAGCCGAGCATCTCTATACAATTATCATTTCGTCGAGCACCAAAGTCCATTTCTAGTAATTATAGAGTTTATAATTCTCGGGATCTTTCCACTAAAAATTGACTTTCTTAATTCAATCTCTTATCCTTCCTCCACGCTTCTTTCATTGAATTGTCGCGCTAGAGTATTTCTTTTTATTTACATCTTAATTTGCTTAAATTAGCATGGGAGCGTTGCAATTAGATTAAAGATAAAATTTTAAAACTTTTTCTCTTGATAATAGAAGAGAAGCGCCGAAATGAAAAACTGAAATTGCAATTTTTAATAGTCTGGTGGCGAAGGTGGCTTTGGCGAACTGGAAATGCATCGGGAGAGAAGCTCTCCGGTACGTCTGCACAAGAATTTCGAAAGCATTCAGTCGTGTGTTTAATAATACCTTCGTTTTTTTCTCTCTCTCATTATTTTCTCGCACTAATTTCTTATCGAGCCTCTGTTATTTAACGTTTCCGTTACGAAAGCTTCTGTTTCTTTGCACTTTGAGTAGCAATGGCCGACAAAACAAACATCTTACACGCACGTTTTTCATAACAAAGCAATTTTATTTGCAAATCCTCCTTAAGATCTCTATGCCTATGATATTGCTGAATTCGAATTTGCGCTTAACGATAAAGCTCGATCGTGTTTCTGGTGTTTCTGGGGATAATATTACAAAAAGTTTCATTCACAATTGTTCACAATTTTGAATTTTCACGTCACTGATTGAATCGATGGGCAACTAATTGAAATTCTGGTCAGATTATTCTCGTTAGATGCAAATTCGCATTCGCTACGTAAAGATAAAGAAATTAAAGTGCTTTTCCGTGTGCTTTTGTAATTATGTACAATATATAATTTCGTTAAATTTTTTATTTATCCATTCTGTATGTTCTCAAATCGTCGGTTGGTTAACGAATGAATTATTATTATATTTGCATTCTTTAATGATGGGCGTACCTATTCAAAACTATAATACACAGACGATATGATGAAATAACTTAGCACCCAGCATGATGCATTTGATAAATTAATTATAATTAATTAACTAATGATGGCGACATTAATTAAGACTTGTACACCTGCAATTGTTAATTATCCTTTTCTGTGTTTATAGAGAGGTAAGGATTATTATTGCGCATATTTATTATTGGCATATCGAATTAATATAGAATAATGACATTGGGCAAATTACATGGAAGAGTCTAAAAATGAATTAAAAACAATTGAATGAAATATTTACCATTTGCGATAACGAGAATATTGTTTATTGACGTAACAATGTAGAATTATAAACGTCACCTTTTGAAAGTGATTTTGATTAAATTACTAATTCGATTAAATTACTATACGAATATATCGAGTGAAACGAAGTATCTTAGGAGCCTTACACATCTAAATTTATATCTATAGTATTCTGCAAAGAAGCAGGGATATTCAATTATGACGCAATGGCATCAAGTCACAATACAACGCAAAATTGATAAATTTTTGTTACTTTCTTCAACTTCTTGCATATTAAAAAGAAGAAGAAAAAAAGAAAAATTTTCAGATTTTTCAAATTTTTCATGTTAAAGGATATATGTAAGGTGAGCTATAATCCGCTTAAAATGTACTAATATAAATAACTCTCTTTCACTTTATATATATATATATATATATATATATATATATATTATATCTAAAAAATATTGATTGTGAAAATTTATGGTTGGTAAAAGATGCTAGTGGAGAACATTATAAATGTATATTATTATCGGCTACTTATATGCATTACGTATTTTATTTAATACATATATCCGTAGGAATTTTCTATTATATATTTGGAGATATATTTCTTGAGTCTCGGATGAGGGAAACTAGACAATATTTATAGATAAGACATATTAAGTAACGACGTCAGCTTATCTTAAAAGTTGTTTTTTTATTATTATTATTATTATTATTAATTGTACTTTGATGTTGTTTGCTCGATGCTGAGAAGTTCAAAATGTGAATTTAAAAAGAAAAATTATAAAAAAAAGTAATTTGAAATATCAATATATTTTGTATACTATTAACGCAATATATTGAGTGCAAGTGGTGGAAGTGAATTTGGTAAGAATAACTTACTTTTAACTATTGCTTGTAATAATTTTGCTCACTTATTATTGTGACTATCTTCATTAATTTTATTATTTTATTTGAATGAACTCTATTGAAATAAATGAGAAATTGAGTATTTATCGGTTCAACATTTACATGCATTATGATCTTTTATTAAGCTATACGAGTAAATAAGAATCTTAGAATTCCAGAGAAAAACAGCTACTAATTTGTTTTACAGATAAAATATATGTTGAACGAAATTTCTATAATTTGTTATACAATATTAAAACGTTCTTATAAAAAGATATGGATTTATTAAATAATAAAAATATTCGTTTATTTAGAGATACTCGCGGTTTAATAAATTCGAAAATTTGCAAGCTTGTACATCTATTAACAAAGAGCGAAATATTGAAAAACTTGTGTTTCAATAACCGCTTTCTACGTTTGATAATTACATAAATATATAAGATAAATACCTTGCGGTAAAAAATTTTCCAATGCAAAAGAGTTCAAATTGTCATCGGTTTAATAATGCAGTATTTAATTTACATAATTTTTTTTTGACATTTTCATACCAATGAAACATCGATAGAATATAATTAATTACGCATCGTTGAACAAGCGTATAAATATATCCGTAGTTTATTCGAAGCTTATTAATTGCAATATTGAAGTTTATAATTAATCATAATCCAATAAATATAGTATTTAAACGATTGACTAATTTATTAAAATAATTTCAAACACATCGAATAATTTGTCGAAGCATTATTCAGAATAGGTACAATTGAACATAATCTTACAATATCAATGCTTTTCGTACTATTTATAGTGATTTTGTTTTTTTAACCAAGATTAAGTATTAGCCATGAATTAATTAAATTATTTATAATTCAATTAATCTAATTGTTCAATGAAGAATTTGGAGTTATTAGTTCGATAAAGTCAGACTTCTTCATCCTATAATCGGACAAATCTTATATGCATATAATGTCAATGTACATAATACGAATTTAATTATGCAGCAGCAAACATTATTCCAATTAATTTTCTCAACGTTATTTTTATTTTACTTTATATAATTAAAATCAAATTCAATGAAGTCGAATTTTATTATTTCATATTAAATATTTAAATTTCACTTTAATTTAAACATTATAATTGATTGTTATATTAAATATTTACATGTCCTGTATTAATATTGGTGCATAAATAATATATATTAGTTGTGAAGAAAGACAAATTATGCTTATAAATTTGAGAATCAAGTAAAACTTCTTTTGTAATAAAACATTGAATTTTAAGTAAATTTATTATCTATCTATAGTATTTGTATATCACATTTTTGTTCGAAATACTCGTGAGTGATTATGTCTTTTGTAAAAAGCAATGTTAAGTTTGATTAAAAGTTAACTTGCTGATTATGTTGAAATATAATGAATAATGAAAATCGCAGGTGCACATAGTCCTAATTAAAACAAAAACAAAAAAATTTCAACTAAAGCATTGCTATGACATGCAAGTGGTGCATGATTTATATGGTTAAATTGTCACTGTGTCTTTGGATTGAGCTTCGCAAGCTAATCTGTCGATCTGACGGTGCAAGCTTTCAGCGAAGCTCGAAGAATAAATGTATTAATACGATAAGCAGGAGAGAGAATGAGAATATATATATATATATATATATATATATATAATATGAGAGAGAGAGAGAGAGAGGGAGAGAGAGAGAGAGAGAGAGAGAGAGAGAGAGCGAGGCCGGGTGTATATATATAGTAGATGTGGCGGGAGATAGATTCAGCGGTAGTGGATGTGCAATGCAGCCGGTGATATCATACAGGATGGATATAACTAAAGCCAGCTTGTTCACGTTTCACAGTATAATTCTATGCAGGACGGCTCGCTATCTAGTATAACTGGTGCCAAGCCCAACGAGAAAGCCCTCCTTGCACGCATCTGGGGCAACTTTGACACCCGCTACATGAAACCCCTCCTCACGCACTCGAGGCCCACTCTCCTGGAGACGCTACCCGTATGCTGCAGCCCTATCGCAAGGCTCCTTACGACCACCCAGCAAATGACCCAGGTAGGTCTCGACCCTCGATGAACTCCACGAGCTAGTCTGCTGGACGGAGGTCGACGCTGTCCCCTCCCTCTTGGACAAACGAGTTAGACAATTTAACGTAAGCGCGAGCGAGGCCAGATTTTGCACATTTAGCGTCCGATCAGACTTGGCTGTCGATTGTAGAACTCCAACGAAAACGTTCTAATTTATTAATAACTGTAACTTCGTTCTTCGATCGTTCGCGATTTCGCGTTACAATTGCATTGGTTGCAATCTCAATTCAAGATCGCATTCGAATCGACGATTGCGAGATAAAATATATACGTCGACATTTGTGTGTTTAGGCAGTCTTTTGACTTGAATAAAAGGTGATATAATTGTCTCGCAGACTCTTGCTTAAAGAATAAAAAATTCATCGCTCAGACTAGCTTGGAGAGATAAAGTTTTTTTTTTTTAAGCTTAATTTAAAGTTAAAGTTCAATTTTTATCTAAAAATTTAAATCTGCGCCAAGTATTTGGAATATCGGGATATTACGACAATTTAACATAATAAATATATGGTGGTAACATTATAATTTTCTTTACGCGTGCAATAAGATTTGCAAATATTTATATATAACATATTTATTAAACAAACTATTTTATATGTAAATTAATTAATGAAAGTAATAGTGTTAGATACATGATATTTCTGTAAAGTACTGTTACCTTATATTATGCTGCTAATAGTTATAAAATACTGATTTTTTTTTTTTTTTTTTTTTTTCTTTCTTTCTTTCTTTCTTTCTTCATCAGCAATATTAATAATATAAGGCTTTATTAACATACACTATGAAGGTTGCCAAGTTATTAAAGTATAATATTTGCTTTGCTGTAAGAATGTATTCTCTCTAAATTATATCATCTAATGCAAATGATTTCACACGAATGGCGTTAATGTTTATAAACATGATATACATTCACTTAATTATATTAATGTAATAATACAATATACTTGTGCACGCTTAATGTAATTATGTAACCAAGAGCGAACTTATAGTTTTTAATTGATAAATATATTTGCTGATTTTATCGAGAAGATTCGGATAGATGTAAATGTAAATTCATATTTTAATATTCTTGAATGAGCTTTTCCGTTCTTTAATTTACGAAAGACGATTGAAATTTATATAAATCTAAAAACTGTTTAAAAATTTGCTTAAACCATCGTACTTTTATTCAAATAAAAATCTTGCAACGATTGAGTTAGCTAATTAAGCTACCCATCATTATACCAGATAATAAAAGTAAAAGTTCGATATTGGTGATCTTAATTGAGCAAAAGCACTCAATTAAAGTTTGACGCATAAATATATTTACTTTTAATAAGGATGACATGGGTCATAAGATTGATTCAGATTCCGACTTGTGCCTGGACGATCAAGAGCTTGAGAGGCGAAGAACGAGTAGTCAACCGGTGAGTTATCATCAACCTAGTCTGAACTATACAGTTAATCCGTGTTATCAGCCAAATAGCACGGAATCTACCAATAGAGATGAGCCATATGTGATCCTCAATCTTAACAGGCGATAAATCTAAAAACAGAACCAATAAATTAGGAACACTAACACTTTGCAAGCTGGGGATCATTGCTTTTAACATAATTTTTATAACTTTTCTCTTCCCATTCTTTTCTTATGATCTAATTCCCGTGTAATTTATTATTATACCTATTGCGACTTGTTTTTAATCTTTTCTTCTTCTTCTTCTTCTTCTTCTTCTTCTTCTTCTTTTTATTTACACACAACCTGTACATTATATGTCACTGGACTAAAATTAATTTATTTTCTTTTTTTGAATGCATTCCCATACTAATACATGGCTGTATATTGTAGCCTTAATTAATGTAATCGGAGTTGGGCATTTATTTTACATATTTGAATTATATATTATTTATATTTCATAATCTATAATAAATTGTCGATATAAATAATTATTGACAAAATTAAAATTACAGCTTCAACACGTTGCGCGTACAATATAAAAAGAAAAAAAAAAGATAAAGAAAACAAATAATCTCAAAGAAGATTATGTGCTTTTAATAAAACTAGACAAAAATCTCTTAAAGTCACAAATTTTAATGTTTGTTATTTTTGTTATTATTGTTATTATTGTTATTGTTATTTTTTTTTTTTAAAGGTTATTATGGTTTTTTTTTTTTTTTTTTATTATTTTATACATAATAATGATATTTTAATACAACGTTTTAAAGCGTAATGACAAATTCATAAAATCATTGATATTTATACCGTACATTCATACGTATGCGTAACGACAATTTAGATAAAATATTCAAAAAAAAAAAAAAAAAAAAAAAAAAAAAAAAGCAATATATTTTTTTATATAACGTTGAATTGAATCTAGCAGATACAACTGAAGTGAATTAAACGAAGCTAATATAAAAAAAAAATTAAGGAAAATGAAAACAAATAACCAGAGTAATGAAGTGTTGTTGCAAAACAAATACTATTAGAATGTTTAAGTTTTCTAATTAACGTTATTTGAATAATGCACGTTATAAATGTATTTAGCGAAAGCAAAGACGAATGGTTATTTCATTAACGAATGCCTATGTACTTTATTGACGTATGAATTAGGCAAAAAAGACAGATGACAAATGAAAGAAAGTGTAGCGTTCAAAGCTCAGAGGATTTAAAAATTTCCTCAATTTACTAAAAGCACACATAATTTATGATACTTTATGTTTATATATAAATATAAACATAATTTTTAAAGAAACGTTCATAGATTTTTGAAACAATACTTCTAGTTAAAGTGCCTTATGTAACTGGAGACGACATAGATATTTATATAAAAATTTCTCCAATAGGGTTTTGAAAAATTTATAAATGCTTTCTATTCCACACTTTTTACCTCTATGATAATAAGGCACTTTAACGGTCTTACGTGGCCATAATTACAATTCTCAGTCCGTGAAAGTTTGAAATACAATCGTAACCTCATATCGGGGAATCCCTCTTTCTTCATTGTCTAAAACGACGTCCTAAATTTTCTTTTAAAACACTTCGTTTTGTAGGGCTTTTTATAAGATTTAAGAAAAAGTAATATCTAATGACATAATGACTAAAGAGGATAAATAACGCCACTCGTATTGATCTATGCATATATTGTTGTCATTTACTAGATATAAAAGCGAATAATATACTAGTAATTCATTTTATGTTTAGCTTTGAAACATCAATTTATTTGTATGGAACAATCGTAATTTATATGTAGAAAGGTAAAATTTTTTATTTCAAAGCTCCAAACTTAGCCTTTTACGCGTGGAAGCAAAAATGTTATTTTAATAATGAACGAAAAATGAACCTTTTCATCATTATAATTTCATATGTAATTTATTGCCCAACTCTGAGATTGACGTTCAACTTAGTGTCAGAAGGCAATTGCATTAAAACAAAAAACAAAACAAAAAACAAACAAAAAACAAAAAGCCAAAAACAAAACAAAAAACCAAAAACAAAAACAAAAACAAAAAAAAAGAACAAAAAAAAGTAATTTTTTTAAGGCAAAGCAATATATTGCGAATGCATGTTCAAACTAATAACGAAATACGTTACAATATAATACTTCCTTTATATCGTAAATGTATAAATGCCAAAGCTATACGCAAAGGAATTCTCGAAATTCGATTATTGTATGAAAAAACGTATATTTACGATTAAAAGCAAAGGGTAAAGCGTGTATGTATTGTGTTCAACGATGAAATCTGTGATGATAAATAAATTTGTAAATATTATAATCATGCGTAACAATAATCATTGTTGCTCAAACATAACTTCTGCCAGTCAAATTTCTTCTTTATTATTTGCCAATTTCTTACTATTTGAAAATTCACTGATACTGTATATATATATATACATATATATATATATATATATATATATATATATATATATATATTTATTAAAAATATCGACAATTTATCTAAGATATATCGTATGCCATTTGAGCAGATTATTATATAATATTTAACTTTATTAGATTGTTTAAATATAAATGCAACATTTTTCTCTCTCAATTTTTATCGTCTGAGTGAAATTTTGAAATTGAAATTTTTAAGAGGATTTAAGCTTTACATTTTAATGATCCCTATTTTCTAAATGATTTGTATCATTTAGTTTGCATTTATTAAGTTTCAATGTTATATTTAAAACAAAGATGTTGAATATAATACGAGAAAGATATGCTTACGAGGATAAGAGCGCGATAATTTTAATTGTATAACATTGAAAAATTATACAAATTAATCTTTTTAAATAAGATAAATAAGAAATTATGTTTGTTACGATGATCTTCCTATGTATTTTTTTTTTTTTTTTTTTTTTTTTTTTTTTTTTTTAATACGTTCCCCAAAATCTTTAATCTTATAAGGATACTATAAGAATTGTATTCGAATAATCTATTGTTTCAATAAAAATAGTTGCTGGCACATTTATTGTAAAAATTAAATAAAATATTCCAACAAGAGAAAATTTTTTTAATATACGGTTATATGTTTGAACAGTCGATGGAATAAAAATGTTCTTCTCTAAAGAAAAAGTATTAAATAAATATCTATAAATACAAATATATTTATAATTTATTTAAATGTAAAATTTACGATAAGCTTAACAATCCCTTAAAATTGTAGAGACAATAATTATATAACTCATATTACCAAAGTAATCTATATAACTTTAAAGAAATTCTAATTTATGTATTGCAAAGTCAATAAATTATATCGAATGCTATATTTAGTGATTTATTTGGACAATTTTAGCAATCGTCCGTGTAAATGTTTTATAATAACTGAAAGGTATATCATTTGAAAGTACGTATCAATTATAAAATATTATTACATTTTTTTATGTTACGTAATTTATGAAAGACGCTTTAGTCGAAATATTTTACTCATTTGGTAATAACAATTACTTCTGAAGCTTAATATTTTTGATTTTCAATGCTTGTTTGCTATGTGCTTATATCATTATTTGCAAAGTTATTATTTTTATTTAAAAGTAGAAGAAAAAAAAAAAAAAAAAAAGAAAGAAAAAAATTATATATATGTATATTTATTAAGCTAGACATGAGTAGATATTATTAGTGTAAATAAATTTTGAAAATTATGTTTAATGTCACTCGGGAGAATATAATCTAAATATAACTACAATTTATGTGTGAAAACAAAAAACAAAAACAAAAAACAAAACAAAAAAAAAACAAAAAAAAAAAAACAAAAAAAAAAAAACAAAAAAAAACAAAAAAAAAAAGAAAATACAAGTGCTTAAAATATTTCTATTGTTGTTTGGAAACTATCTACGCCTACTATAATATATGAAAATATTAAATTTAAGCCATTAAATATACCAGAAATCCTTTATCTGATGATGGTTATAATCGGTTTTTCTAGAACAAAAGAAATGATGAGGATGACGAAGACCTGAGAATCATGGGAGCCGAGGGATATATTCCATTGCGGACCTTATAAATCCTATACTATATTTTTTACGAAAGAAAAGCTTTTACGCGCATATCAAGAATTAATTATCTTGATAATAGTTCAATATTTATAATAATATTAACAGGCAGGTAAAATGGAAAAGAGTGAAAATTCGATGCATTTCCAAATAAATCTTTCTTTTATACTTATTTATTTATTTATTTATTTATTTAATTATTTATTTAATTATTTATTTAATCATTGGAATATATTTGATGAATGAATGTTAATTAATGTTCGACTATCATTTTAAAGATAAATTTGCCTGTCTGTATGAACGTTGAAGTTATTTTAAAATTTTTATTCTTATACCACGTAACAATTGAGTGTTGACTATTTGAAAAGATTTCTAATTAACCGACAGATTAATTTTGATATTTATACTTGCATATCTTATGTACCTCGAGTAAATTTAGTAAATCAATTATAAATTTAGTGCGATGCAGAATGAGAATAAGACATAACAATACAACAAATTAAAAGTCTGAAAAATCTGGTAACTTGTATATACAGGATGTACATATAAAAATCATGATTGTTGTAGTAAAACATTGACGAAATATTTTTTCTTACTTGACTCAAAATTAATAGTAACATAAATGTCCGCTTAGAATAATTTATTCTTATACGGATATTTAAGTACTTAATATCGATTAATTACATTATTAATGGCAATATTTTAGAGCGACATTGAAAATTGGTATGTTTTTTTTTAAGTTAATGACACATTCCAATAGAACGATTATTGTGTTTAATATACATTTTTAAATTAAATAATTGGTATGTTGGTAGAGTACAATATTTATTTAGAATAATATATATATACTTATTATAATAATTTTGAAAAAGACATTGTAATATACTTGAACATTAAGCATAATTTTCTCTTACTTCTGTAATTATAATTTTGTATTATGTCTTTTCAATTATTTACGTTCAGTCAGTCTCTTTAATAATAAGAACTGAATTGAATTGACAGAGTAAATGATTTATGTAAATAATTTCCTCGATTAATTGAATTAATTTTTGTTTAAAGGTTGTCGTCGTTGTCTTTATTTATTTATTTATTTATTTATTTATTTTATTTTTTTTTTTTTGTAATTTTATTTACTATATACCATGCAATTGTACTTTTATGGAAAATAAATTAATCACATTAATATTTGTTAATAAAACAAAAATAAAAATCGAACGTTACTGCACAATATTCTAAAGTATCCGTTCCTAAATCGGGCTTAATATATATATATATATATATATATATATATATATATATAAGCCAATTATTAAATTCTCTTATTGTTGCTACGACATTATTATGCAATTAAAATAAAATAACGATGAATAAGAATACTAAGCAACTTTTACGATTTCAATAAACTCCAAATGCGAGTAGATGCTCTGTGAATTTTTGAATATTCGGTCATCTTTCTTGCCTGAAAAGAACGAAATTAAGATTATTGCAGTATCCTAATGAATAAAATCACAATATTTTTATTTATATTTGTCGTATATATTTACTTATTGTCCTTTTAATCGTTTAGTGAATTAATAAAGTTCAATCAAAACAATATTATTATAAATAAATTTTAATTATCTCTCTTTCTCACTCTCTCTCTCTCTCTCTCTCTCTCTCTCTCTCTCTCTCTCTCTCTCTCTCTTTATATATATATATATTGGTATTTAAAGAATAATTTATGTGCACTGTACGTACTTATACTTGTAATTTTGATTGATCTAAAATATCAAGCTCGAGTGAGACTGCGATTGTCAAATTAGTTTGATGAAAACAAACTTTCTGTACACGCTATTTATTACTGATTTGAATAAGCTCTTGTAGAAAAAAGATTTAGTGTAACAATTAATTATACTTTTATAGAAATAGTAGCAAACCCATAGTTCCTGCCTGTAGTTCGTCTTATTAGTTTATTCGCCAGCATGTCACGCACACCTCATGATGTTTAACTCTTTCGCACTTCTAGATCTTTTATTTAATTGGTTTGCCTTTCCAGCACTTAGTCGAGCAATTAGTAAAAATAATTACCTAATCCTTCAGCTCATTTAATTTATTATTTGTTTTATATTATTCCTTCGCAGACAAACATAAGAGGCATCGCAAACAGGTCACACGTATAAATCAAGATATTTTGTCGTAGTGTGCAAAAGTTCCACGGCGGTAGCGTTTATTAATATTTTGTGAGTTCTTTATTATTTTATTTTATTTATTTATTATTATTTTTTTTTTATTTATTTATTTTTTTTGTTTTTTAAACGCCACTGGCTCTTTGCGCTTATTCTCATATAATACACATTATGCGCGGTTAATGCAGCATTATTAACTGGCAATCATTATTAATTATACTTAAATGTGATTTCTGTATTCGCGAAGAGTTGAGTTAGTCTTGTAGAACAGTTAATACATAATTGTATTTTCTCTTTTACACATAAAATTACTTTATTAATTAATTAGCCTTTCAATTTGATATTTAAATGTTTATCTGACAAATCTGTACTACGTAAACGATACTTCTATGACTTTATCGTGTGCAATAGTTATTTATGAATAAATAGTTGTTACATCACAATATACAGAGTGAATCAGTATTATTCTCTAAGTTCGGTATATTGGACGTTACCACCAGCTTCCTGCTATCAATAAATCAAAGATATATGTTTATTTTGATTATATACTTATATAAGAGAATGGTGGCAAAGAATATTTCATTAATTATGAGAAAATTATGATTTTGGCGTATTATTTATAGTTTACGCGATTCCATAATTTAAAAGCACTTTTCACTACTACTACCCATCAATAATATCACCACACGAAATAATCTTCTAATAATAATAATTAGCCTCTAATAATTTACTAATTTATTATTTATTATTTAAATAGTCGTTCAAATTTATCAACGAATAAATAATTTGTGTATTGAAATTTTCAGTAAAGCATGAGTCATCTATGACACTTATTTGCAAGAGCAATCAATTATTCGCTATGTTGAAAACTTCGTTAATACTATCTATTATAATAAAAAGCAGCGAAATTCAATTTTATTTTTGCAATATTGCGATCCTAACGTACAGGTAAATGAATCTATTTGAGTTAGTCGTTAAAAAGCCGAGCGAGAATGTAGTTTTTTCTTCTTCTGTTTTTTTTTTTTTTTTTTTTTTTTTTTTTTCC